TTTGTCCGTCAAGCCGGATTTGTACTGACCGTCCTGTAGCAAAGGACGCAACCCAGCGAGCAAGGTTGTCAGGCCATCCCTGCATACGTAGCCTGTGAACTAGTCTACCAGGAAGGACAGTGTCGAAAGCTCCCTTAACATCAAGAGTGAGGAGTGAGGCGGTCTTGCCCTCATTTAATGCTTGCTCCACATCATGTGTTAAGCATGTAGTTAGGTCAACTGCAGATCTGAGGGGGAGAGCTCCGAACTGTTGACTTGCAAGGACCTTGTGATGTATAGCGACCCATGCCATATTCCGTGCCACCAGTCGCTCAAGCCCCTTGCTGAGGACTGAGAGGAGAGCAATCGGTCTGTATGACCCGGGGGAGGACAAATCAGTTTTCTTTGGCTTCTGAATAATAGCTAGGACAGCATGTCGGAAACATCTAGGATGATATCCTATCTTAAGGCAGCCTTGGTAGAGCATTAGAACTTTGTCCTTGATCAAAGGCCATGCCACTTTGATTACACAGGTGGGAATTTCATCTGCTCCAGGAGTTGTGTTACCTGCCTGAAAGACAGCTTTCTCAACCTGCGCCATCGTTATATCTGGGAATGGTAGGCTAGTTGATGGGACAGCTGGAGAGTCTAAAGGTATATCACCCGCTTCAGCAGTATTCTGAAGAAGATTACGGACTAATACGTCTCGTTTCTCATTCAGAGCCACTGCTGGAGGGCTGTTTGGCCTTAAAGGGTCGTTCAGTGGAGGGCTTCGATAAGATCCTGTAGACTTATGCCACTTGCTCATGTCAAAGACATCTTTGATCTGTGTCACTGCGGTAAGTTTATCTCGCCAGAACTGCCGTTTAGACCGTCTGGTTATCCGACGGAAGTCGTTTCTTGAACAGAGACCTAAGCGGAAGTCTTGCAACGCTTTTCTGCAGTCCATATTCCACCATGGCTGACCTATTCCCTGCGCCAAGGAGCTCCTAGCAGAGCCTTTATACGCACTAGCGATTGCTAAGGTTAACCCATGAGCTAGACTGTCCAGGCCCTCTTCTGTTGTAGCTGAGCATTCAATGCCAGCAAGGTTGGAACTGAGTAGTGAGAGGAAGTGAGGGTGGTCTAATGTATCAAATCTCAGTTTCTGAGCTGCCTCTGTGAATCTCTGGCTCCATGGCATGGTGGTGAGAAGTGGCCGATGATCTGATGTTGAGTCTAAATGGCTTGCTATCCTGGTGCTTGTTCCTGCTAGTGCTAGGGAGCTCGAGGCAAAAGTGAGGTCAAGAACATTGCCTCTATTGTGTGTAGGCTGGTCTATCTTGGAGATAAGAGCCAGCCCTAGATGATCAAGCCAGTCGACAAATGGCTCAGCAAAGGTGGTAGGGCTGCAATGCAGTGATGGCTGCCACCTGCTATGTAGTAGGTTGAAGTCGCCGGCAAGCACGGTAGGCTGGGAAAAGTAGGAGTCAGGCAGGAGTGTAAGCGCTTTTGCAGCCTCACCTGACCTGATTGAGCCGATTGGAGCATTATAGATGTTGATTATTAATGCAGATTGTCCAGAGCGGGAGAGGATCTGTAGTAGAAGAAGGTCTGAGAGAACATCTTGATCTATTGGCTGAGGGCGGAGCTGAGAGGCCCGAATGCCCATCTTTTTCCGGATATAAGTGAGTACCCGGGGTCGACTGCTTACAACCCAGCTGTCTATTGGGGAGAAGCACTCATATGATGGGTGCCTTTTTGTGATTTGTCAGCTGAGGTCAGTATATATGTATGGTTCCTGTATAAGGATGATATCAATGCCGCTAGAGTATGCTAATGAAAGGGCGATTTCATGAGTGGCTGGCCCGTGGCCTATGTTCAGCTGGAGCACTGACAGAGGCTCCGTTCTTAGGCGGGGTCGATATATCATAGTTGTTCGTCTAACAGAACGTTAAACTGGTTTTGAGGTTTAGGGGTTGCAAAGCAGACTGCCTGAGCTGTGACTGGAGGAGAGTCCACAGGTACATGAGGTGGAGGGGTTGTTGCACGGAAGGGAGAGGCCATCGATTGAGCTGATGGCAGTGTTGTAAGTACGCTGTCCAAAGCCATAGTCTGATCCTGGGAGGTTGCGGGAGTTTGTGTGCAGCAGTTGCTCTTCATGCGAGCTTTAGCTAGGTTCAGAGAGCCAGTCTTGCGGATCTCAGCCTGCTGGGCCTTAGTGCATGTAGTGCCTGTCCTGCTGGGCCGGAGAAGACATTCTGTATGGTCTGCCGGGTGTGGGCCGTGACAGTGTAGGCATCTCGGGGGGCAGTTGTGAGGGGTTTGGGCAGCGCAGCGGTTGGTGTGTCCCTCTTCTGTATGCTGAGTAGAGCCACAGAGGCGGCAGCAGGGGTGACGAGCACAAGATTAGGAGTTGTGCCATTTCCAGCACTGGTTGCATTGTATAACCTTTGTCTTCCTAGACAGGGGGCGGGCATTGGTGACCATACCAAAGAGATGTAGCTGGCGTGGGAGGGCTACTACTGTTCCTTCTGGGAAGTTGATAAACCAGCTGGAAGAGGGAGAGTACTTGTCGGCAGCGCTTGCAGCGGTTTCAGTGACTAAGACGGGATTGAGGCCGGTGGACTCAGCAATTGCCGTGGCCAGAGTCCCTGGATTCATCAGGACAAAGGAATGCTGATTCTGGACAAGCTGCCCAATGGTCCTTGGGACGTTTGTCACTCTATATGAGATCTAGTGTGAGCTGTGTTCTACTCGGCATTCACTAAAAAAGGAGGAGATAGTCTCCTTGTGAGCTTCTAATGCAGAGAGATCGTCAGGAGTAGATGGGCACAGGGCAAAGCCAGTCTTTATAGACTGCACTTCTTTAAGCATGGCGCCATTTGGGCCCAGTCTGGCTCGAAGGCTGGAGTAAATTGCATAGGACTGCATGCCTCTAGCCAGATGACCGTCTGGTAGGCGGATAAAGAGGCGGTTGTCTGGGGGAGGCGGCTTAGCAGAGAGTGCGGTCTTTTTGGACTGCCTGTCTGAGGTTTGGGTGTTGTTTGGCTTCTTCGCTTTAGCAATTGGCTTGCTTGAGGCGGAGATGCAGGCAGCCGCAGCGTAGGTTGACTGATCCAGGCTGGAGGGCGGGCGAGAGGCCGGGGGGGATGGGGGCTTATAGACAGCGAGGGCAGGAGGGCTGCAGACCCCGCTTACATCTATGCCGCTGATAAAGGCATTGAAGTGGCGTTGTGCCACTGCAGCAAGATTGTTGCTCAAGAGGGCGAGAGCTCTCTGCAGGTGCGGTGCAAGACTGGAGGACTGAGCGCGGTGCTTATCCAGGAAACCTGCAATGGGACTGAATATTTTCTGTCCCTCTGTGGCTCTGGTTGCGGCGGCATCTGTAGACTCTTGAAGAGCTGCTTGTAGAGGCCCTTCGCGTTAGGTGCGGTTCTGAGCCATCTCCGCCAAGCGCGTTTTTACGCGACTGGGCGCGTATGGCGAGGCAGAGCGCAGGAAGAGGACCAAGGAAGAGACGCCCGTAAGTTATGACACGTAACAGTGATAGTAGCTCGTTCTTTTGAATCGAACCTCCGGTTTTGAGTCGTCGCGTTGCTGCGCCGAATTACTATGGTCTGGTTTTTTTTTGTGATTTATTTTCTCTCAGTTTTCCTTCTATCCTTCCACAGCATGTCACGTGACACATTTTCAAATGATTTTGATCTGAGGAGAAAAGTGGAGGAGCTCCGCAAGTTTGCTGACTTGCGAGGATTCACAACAGAGTACCAGGAAAAACAGAAAAGCAAACCAAACGAAATCAGCCATAAGAAAAGGGCTCCGGCTACCGATGACAGATAGTTAACTTTAGTTAACTTCACCATGGGCACTGCGAACCTTGCCGGGGGCGCAAGAGCACTGAACGATACAGTATTCTGCAGAGACCACCTACAGGAGCCCCAATCGCGGCTTCAGTCGACTGCAAGCCACTAGCCAGTCCATTGCGCCACCATGGCCGCCGCTATTATTTCATGCGGACTCTACTACAGTAGCATAATGTACTTATTTGTGAAGACTTTATGTTTAAGTTAGTCAGAGAATAGGAGCGCATCCGGATACGTCCGAGATTGTCAGCTAGCCAGTCATTAAGAAATGAACATGCAGAGTATCTAATACGACTTAGGGTCAAGCAACCTGTATGTCGTATGGGACGAAGAAAAGAGACCATTCATTCAAAATCATACTGCTCGATGGATACGCCAGCATTTCGAAAGTGGTCTTCGGCGCTCTCACTCTTTGCACCGACGACATTAACGCACTTTTGAAGGAAGGTACCAAACCCTTGCTAGGCTCTTCCGCATACGCTGACCAGTTTCTCCTAATGTAACCCTTCAGCTCAGCAAAGAATTCCTCAATTGGATTCAGGTCAGGTGAGTAGGGCGGCAAATATAATAGTTTTACTCCTGCGTTGAAGCACATCTGCTGTACCTTGGCTGAGTGGTGAAAAGATGCATTGTCCATAATAAGGACAGATCTTGGTTCTGGCCACCTCCCACATTGCTGAAGAAGCTGCCCAATAAAGTCTTCGAAGAAAGAACCGAATTTATCTTATCTTGGGACGACTGATGCTGACAAGCTAAGAATAATAATAAGGAGAGTCATTTGTGTTGCGCCACTTAGCTCCTGCATAGTCTGTTAAGCACCTCATTCCAAGATGGCAGGATACAGACAGGAAAGCGTCTGTTGACAGTTTGCCAGCTCCGCCAGGCACTCCAGCTAGTGGTTTGGCCGATTTGCATGAAATCTTACAGCTAGGGAAGGTCCGACTGAAATTTCAAATTTTGAAATTTCAATAATTTTTCTGAATTGAAATGTAATTTGAAATGGCTCTTGAAATTTGAAATCGCGCTAATCCAAGATAAGTAGGATATTATGCATAACCGTCAGGTGATTGCCCACAAAATGCTTATTAATGCATATATGTACATAATTGTGCAAGTCACATGGATTTTGAAATGTAATTGAAATCAGGAAAAAAGGTGAAATTTCAGGATTTCGTAATGAGCTCGCCTGTATTGTCATTACACCAGCACTACTTCCACGGTTCCATGGTTCCAGCCACACGTGGATCGCCCGTACAGTATGTCGGCATGTCATCGTTACATATTACAGTTTTATACAGTATCATATAAATACACGGAAGATAGATATTCCGTGACCTTGCTAGTAAGGTTTAGCTCCGTTTTGGATTAGGTTTCAGAAAAGAAATCAGACGTGTAAACATTTGCACCAGTATTGCAGCCAGCTGTACTAGCTGGATGCAATGTCACGCTGAACGGTCAGAAGGCGTACGGTGTTTTCATCTCGCCTGGCACCGGCTACCGCAACAACGCCGCCAGCAGTACAGCTACCGGCGACGCAGCTAAGGGCATGTACGCGGTCCTGGATGGGACCCATTACAACGGTGGCTGCTGCTTCGATTACAGCAACGCCGAGACCAACAGCCATGATATGGGCAATGGCCACATGGAGGCCATCTACTTTGGCGACAACACTGTCTGGGGCACTGGCGCTGGCAGCGGCCCGTGGGTCATGGCTGATCTTGAGAACAGCCTGTTCTCCGGCTCCAGCCCCAGCAACAACACCGCTAACCTGTCCATCTCCTACCGGTTCCTTACTGCCATCGTCAAGGGGAGGTCGAACCAGTGGGCAATCCGCGGCGCCAATGCTGTGTCTGGCTTGCTATCTACCTACTACAACAGCGCGCGCCCAAGCGTGTCCGGCTACAACCCCATGAGTAAAGAGGGCGCCATCATTCTCGGCATTGGCGGCGATAACAGCAACGGCGCGCAGGGCACCTTCTATGAGGGCGTCATGACCTCCGGCTACCCGTCCGACGCCATGGAGAACTTGGTGCAGGCCAACATCGTCGCAGCTAAGTACGCCACCACGTCGCTGACCAGTGGCCTGGCCCTTACCATTGGTTCCTCTATTTCCCTGCGCGCCACTACAGCCGGCTACACCGCGCGCTACATCGCACACAATGGGTTGACGATCATCTCTGAGATCGTCTCGTCGTCCAGCGCCACCGCCCTCAAACAGCAGGCTAGCTGGACAGTTCGCGCCGGCCTGGCCAATACCGCCTGCTTCTCGTTTGAGTCCAAGGACACCCCTGGCAGCTTTATCTGGCACTATAACTTTGTGCTCCAGCTCGCCGCCAACGACGGCACGAAGCAGATGCACGAGGACGCCACGTTCTGCCTGCAGGCCGGCATTAATGGCCAGGGCAACTCCATTCGGTTGTGGAATTATCCCACCCGCTATTTCCGACACTATAATAACGTGCTTTACGCTGCGAGCAACGGTGGTGTGCATACGTTTGATGCTGCTACTTCGTTTAACGACGATGTGAGTTTCGTGGTTAGCTCCGGCTGGGCTTGAGGTCATCCTAGCACTATCACAATGGTCTCTACCCTATGGTGATTAGGGTAGACTTGATGATTGCTATCCTGCAGTTCTAGTTGTACGGACTACATCTTGTTAGTAAATAGGCATTATCATCCATACTAAAATATGACTCGAGTAAATACGCATTATTACGCTGGGCTTTCTTTCACCAGTCTTTCTCATACACAGTTACTATATCACTGTGCTTGTCTCTGGCCGTCCATACTCATCTACAACTACAGCTGCATGTGCACAGAGTTGGATCCAGATCCTAAGCGGGTCCAGGCGTAGTCCCTATCCGCCAGCGCTTTCGTGCTAACCTCAGGGGAGAGCTTTTTGCCAAGTTTTACTGCCGACCTTGCCTGTGCTGGATTCTCACTGCTACTACTTCGTCCTACTAGCTAGAGATCGTTGGTCGTCTAGACACCTTCTGGCTGAGGGATTTGATATGACATGTCCTATTCTGCCATACCCCACAATTGTCAATGCTCTATCCATGTTGAGAAATACAAATGGCTCGGATGATGACTAGACCAACTGTCAACCTCAAGCTGGAGTCGCCGTGACATTCTCCGGCGTCACCGTCCAGCAATCTCCATAGTTAGGGTCGCATTGTCCTGCTGCACAGTATATATCCTTGCTTCCGCACCACCCCTTAAGCGAGCAGCAGTTTCCAAAATTACCCCCAAAACACATTATGCCGCCGCTGTTCGCTCCGCATGTGGGCGAGAAGACCGGCGCGGGGAGCGTCTCGTTGGTATCGTTGCACTTGCCGAAATACGGGTTGCAGCGGTCCGCCTTGCAGGTCGCGATGGTGGAGCCGCAGTAGTTGTTCAGGCCGCAGCAGTCGCCGAAAGCGCTGCCCTCGCATGTGGTGTTGAAGGCGTGGCCGCAGTATCCGTCCTGCGAGACGGGGAACGCGGGGAGAAACGGCTCGCCCCAGGGGACGGGGACGGGGCTGGTGTAGTTCCAGTCCGGGGTGGCTCGGGCGCAGTAGGTGAGGCCGGGCTGGATGCTGGCGGTGCAGTTGCTGGGCGAGAGGGACGGGTTGAAGGCGAGGAAGAGCTCCGAGGAGACGACGTAGTTGAGGCAGATCTGCTCGCAGGTCATGTCGCCTGCGGTATACCACTCGCCGCACCTGGTCGTCGTGTTGGGCGCCACGACTGCGCCGGCTGGGGGGTCGACGATAGCGGGGGCGTACCCCGGTTGTGGGGTCTGGGCGTTGGAGAAGTTATTGGCGATTACGGTCCATGGCTCTCCTGGGGCAGACACGCAGATCGTGGAGCCCCAGTACGGGGTTGACGCGTTGACTAAGTTGTCGCAGCCGTAGTTGATGGCCCCGTTCCAATTGACGAGATCAATCCAGGAGACCCCGTACTCGAGCCCGAGACCGACGCACGTATCACCGGCTTGGACTTTGTAAGTATCACAGGTCTGCGGGAGACAAAGAGGAGAATCAGAAGAAGTTTGCCAAGTCGCTACTTGCGATGATGTCAAAGTACGGCTTTGATGGTGTGGATATCGACTGGTAATTCCCCATCCTTCCACTGAGGCTATACACCGTACTAACGAGGCCCAGGGAGTATCCCGTTGCGGAAGAGCGCAGTGGTCGGAAAGAAGACTTTGACAATTTCCCCAAGTGGATGAGGAACCTGCGCTCTCAGCTCCAGAGCAGTGGAAAGAAGTACGGGTTGACTCTGACCCTCCCTGCGAGTTACTGGTGTATGTTACCCATTCATGGCACGTTATTGGCCTACTAACCGCTATAGATCTCCAACACTTCGACATCAAGAGACTGCAGGAGTCGGTCGACTGGTTCAATGTCATGTCCTATGATATGCACGGCACCTGGGACCAGAACAATACCTGGGTCGGACCATTCCTGAATCCCCACACGAACCTGACCGAGATCAAGGGGGCACTAGACCTGCTCTGGCGCAATGATATTGAGCCGGCCAAGGTAACGATGGGCCTGGCGTACTACGGCCGCAGTTTTACCCTCTCATCACCAGACTGCTTCGAACCGGGCTGCACATACAAGTCTGGTGGCAATGCAGGTCAGTGCAGCAGCACAGTCGGATTCCTCCTCAATTCCGAGATCCAGACTATAATCAGTGAGAATGGCCTCACTCCCAAGTTCTACGAAGAGGATGCCGTCAAGGCGATCCACTGGGGTGACCAGTGGGTGTCGTATGACGACGCAGACACCTTCAAGATCCGCGGCGATTTTGCAAACTCGCAGTGCTTGGGGGGCGTGATGGTGTGGGCCATCAGCCATGACGATCATAAGTCGACCTCTGCCGAAGGGCTGATGACCGGCCTTGGGAAGAAACGAATGCAGCTGCCTTCGTACTCTGCCGCGAGCGCAGCTCCGTCGACATTGACCAAGAGGGATGACAGTGCCGGCAGCAATGTGGACGTGTGTCGTTGGACCAACTGCGGCGAGAATTGTCCCGCCGGGTGGAAATGGATCAGGCGCGCAGATAGCGACACTCTCAGTATGACTGACGAGACCTACTGCTACTCGGGTCAGGATTCCCGCAAGTTCTGCTGTCCAGGCGACGTGGACCTGCCCAGCTGTCAATGGCGCGGTATGCCGAAACACGGCGGGAACTGCAGCCCCGGGTGCAAGGACGGTGAGGTTGAAGTCGGCACGCTGGGCTATCCATACTGCCAGACCAAGCATCAGTCTGCCTGCTGCACTGTCACGCCGTCTACGGCCCCCTACGGTGAATGCAAGTGGGTGGGAAGCGCGGGCCTGTGTTCCTCGTCCGGCGGCCATAAAGACTGCCCCAGCGATTATCCGACGTTTGTCTTTGCCAGTTCCAACGGCGCCGGCGGAGAGCAGACGTGTACGCAGGGAGCCAAGAGCTTCTGCTGTAAGGGCGAGGTGCCCTGGCAGTTCAAGAAGTGCTCGTGGCAAAAGAAGGCCACCAATTTTCTGAGAGCGGAGGCATTCTGCGAGAGCTCCTGCCCCGAAGGACAAACCCGGCTGGGAATGCATGCAGGCGACTGCGGGCTGGGCTGGGAGGCATACTGCTGCGCAGGAGATCCCCCGCCTCCCCCAAAGACTGATGACGGGGGCAGTACTGAGCCGAACACCACCACCGTTGAGCCCCGCGACCCCAATCACCTATACTACTACGAGTATCAGTCCTTGATCTCAAGATACATGCAGGATCCAGGGGCCCCGCCTGATTTCCACAGCTACTCCTGGTCGCCGGAAGAGGATCAAGCACTGGTGGAGCGGACCAAACTGAACCTGTACGACTTTGAGCTTTTCAACACGTACAATGCGCGAACGATGGTGTCGAACGTCCAGGCCCTCATCGATCTGTACGACCATACCGGGCCGCCGGTGACGTACGGCGACCATTTCCTGATGGCCGAGATGAATGCTGCGATCAACCAGTCCGGGGGTGGCATTGATCGGTATGCCTATGTCAGTGACTTGATGGCCAACCCGCGGACGGCTGACGAGGCATTGAACTACATGGACACGGCTGTCGATGACCTGTGCACCATTCAAGAGGCCGAGGGCACCGCCCCGGCGAAACGGGATACTCCTGCGGCGGAGAGTGACAATGCAGACCTTGAAGAACGACATATCAATATCGTTGATATATCTACCGACTCAAAGGTAAATGGGCAGCCGACCATGCGGACCATCCTGCGCGGCATCAGGAATGGAGACCTGACCCTGCACTATGCCCGGTGGGAACATTTCAACGACCGGAATGGCGACGGGAGCAGAGAAGGTCCTTTACTGGAAATAGCCTATTGGATTGGAAGCGAGATCGGGACTCTGGGGGCCAATGCCAACGAGTATCAAGAAACAGACAACGACAAATGGGTTGTTTTCCATTTCCACTACAACAATGTACGTCCCTTTCTCACCATTCTCTGATGGACCACGGGAATCTGCTGCACGTTCAGTAAGAAGAAGACTGACACATTCACAGGATGGGCTTTTGTTTCGGCCAAAGAAGGGCCAAATGTACATTGGCTGCACCAGCATCACTGTTTTCCACGGGCAAACCCTCGACAACGGGGCGCGTGGTGATAATCGGATCTGGAACCGGGATGACGGCCGTGACGGCAATCCCAACACAGGAAATACGCGATCTAGAGCCCTGCAATGCCCCAGAGGACAGCGGTGGTACATTGCCCAGGCGGCTGCCCCGAGTGCTGCGGGCAACCATTATTACGCAACCGAACTGGCGGAATTCGCGCGTACTCTGTATGACCAGGGATATCTGGGGGCTCAAGCATTCAGACTGATCTACCCGGGCAGCGACAACCCCTTCGAGTTCCATACGTCTCAGTATCAGCAGTTCGGGGACGGAATGAGTCGCAATTTCCTCATGGTTGAGAGGGAGATTATGGCGGGATGGACAGAGTGGGTGCCGCAGCAAATTGGATATATCCATGGTGGATAGATAGAAGCTACTAAATGTGCAGTGCATGCTGTAGTCTAGATTATCTTGTTACTTTGAGTCTGATGGCAATTGTACTATGGAAGTCATGTTAGGGCTCTCTCTAGTGCTATCTCTACCTTTAGAGGCGTAAACATGCTCCATCACGGTATCCTAGTCATTCTATTGTTAGATATACCAGAACTAGCTTCCTGCATGGTAATCATTTATACTTTCAAATTCTCTCAGCATAAGCCATCTTGAGGCGTGAAACGTGAATGCGTGATTGATCACGTTGTAGTCACTAGTTGTACCCACTAAATCCGACTTGCTTAAACCCCACCATTCCGTCCATCCTTTTTCCTCATTTTTCAACCATTTCTCATCCACCAACGTCGAGTAGAGACACACCACACACACAGATATGGCAGACATAGACAGAGCAATGGCAACAGACAGGCCAGATGAACTCCTGATAACTGCTATAAGGAAGAACGACCTCGCCACCGCCCGCCACCTGCTCAACCGCAACGTCTCCCCAGATGAGCCTTACAGTGATCCGCCGCTCAGCGTGGCCATCAGGCACCAGCGCTTGGACATCGTCCAGCTACTCTACGAGCATAATGTCAAAGGATTCATGGGCGAGTTCAACGCGACAGAGATCCACGTCGCCGCAAGGGTCGGCAATCTCGCCATCCTGGAGTTCATCTGGAACAAGCTCAAGCCTCGACACCAACATGATGGCTTTCTCCACCGGGCCGATCTCGACGGAATGACTCCTCTGCACGATGCGGCCGCCTCTGGATCTCTGGATTGTGTGCGGTTTTTGTTGCGCGAAGGCGCGGACGTGAACTCCTGCCCCGAACACGGTATGACCCCGCTGCATTATGCCGCGAAGAGCCCCAATGCACGGGAAATTATCGAGGTGCTCGTGCAGGCTGGGGCCCAGGTCGATGCTGCCGCCTCGAACGGAGAAAGTGCTCTCTTTGGTGCTGTCGAGTCTGATGACAAGGATGCGGTCGCAGCGCTTCTCCGCGCAGGGGCGAGTGTCACACTGCGGAATCAGTACAACGAAACCGTCCTCCACACTGCAGCGTACAGCAGTTCACTATCTCTCCTGCAGACATTGGTTGACGCTGGAGCGGATATGACCGCGCGGAGCACCTCAAACTCGACGATTCTGCACCGCGCAGCGGAGGCCGGGCGCGTAGAGACGGTTGCGTGGATTCTCCAGCATACGCATCTGCCAGCAGACGACGCGAACAGCTACGGCTGGACTCCACTGCACTTTGCGGCAGCAAAAAACCACCTCAGCACGGTCAAGTTTCTCGTCGAGGAATGCGGTGCAGATATCTCCGCCCTCCCATCATTCCCCAGAAACGCATCCGCGCTGCACTTGGCTACTCACTGTTTCGGCGAGGACCCAATCCCCCGGGCCAATTGCACACGACCAGTGGCCGACAACACCTCCCTAATCAGCTACCTCCTTGCGCACGGGGCGGACGTCTGGGCGCGCGCGGACGATGGCATTCTAATGGGCGGCTACGAGTCCGGAGAAAACATCTTCAGAGAATTGCACGAGTGCACCAGTGGGCCTGAAAGCGAGGATGATTGTGATACGGTCACCCCGCTTGACTGCGCCGCTGCTATCGGGAGTATACCCAAAGCGCAGGCTCTGCTTGCTGCGGGAGCGGACATCAATGCACGTAGTCGGACGGGCATGGGCTGGACGGCGCTGCTCCATGCGGTGACGACACTTCCGCCGCACTCTCCTGGGGGCCCCATAACCCCGATAGTCCGGTTTTTGATTCAAAATGGAGCGGATGTGCGGATTGTGGATACCAAGGGGCGCAGTGTGGTGCATTATTTGTGCTATTATCTGCGGGCGACAGAGCCTGTGCGGGAGTTTTTGGTGGAGACGGGGGTTTACAAGGAGGATCTGGAGGCTGCGTTGGATTTGAAGCTGATCCCTGGGCTTATGAGGGATCTGATATACCGGAATCAGTCATGATGTCTATTGAGAGTGATGGGTTGTACAGTCTAAGTAACCACTCATAGGCCTTCCAATACTTCTCTAAATGAACAGACATTGCAAACTATATGTATATTTGCTATACTTTGGTAGTTGACGCAGGAATGGGCCTCCATCTATGACAAGACCCAAGCATCAGTGTCAGGCTCATAGCTCCTTGTCTACATTGTCATGATTAACTGCTTGCTGTTAGCATTCGTAAACGATTATCACCCTGTGTACTAAAGGGAGATCAAGCCTATATGATAGGCAATACCCTGCGCCTATAGAACTCGTCTATCCAGTAATGGTGCTATGCAGGAGACTCAACTACCCATAATGCCACCAATGCACAATCGATCCTGATTAAATTGGGTATCTTTTGGCTATCTAGGCTGGTAACAACACAATTGTTTAGATACTAAAATTGGAGGCTCCGTTTTTCTTCCTGTAGTCCCATATTGTATGCCGCCAGGCCTGTTGCCCTGCTTTATATATATATATATTCTCAATCTCAGCCTCCGCCGACTCGAGGGTGTTATCTCGGTGGTGATGTTTTCTTAGATGTTGATTGACGACCAGATCACTAGGAAGTGGTCCAATCATTTTGTCGTCTGAATGGGATAAATCATGATCTGATCTCCTCGCATTATCAGGGGTCCGATGCGCCATTGGGCCGCCTTAGCTTCGGCTCGGCACTCAACCACATTTCAGATGATAAATATATCAGTTCTCATCTGTCCAAGCCTAGGGTAGGCTCTATATTATAAATTTCTGACTAAATACGGCGGACTGTTTATACAAAAGGAACATATCGTATTTTTACGCTATTTTCCACCGAACCACACTCAGCGCGTTGTTGCTGTGGATCGGAAAGCATCTACTGTTTACTTCAACCTATTTGGAGGGAAGATACTTAATCAGATTCGACTCGACTACTACAATGATCTGTCGTTCTTAAATCAGCAAAGTTTTCGGCACGCCGTGGACTGGTTTCTTGATATTGAACTGCGGAGGGCAGAACACGTGAGCGACGCCTACCGCACAACGCTCCACTTGGATCCAGACGCTGGGGAGTGCGCAGGACAGCGCATTCACCGTTTCTACTTCAAACGATTGGAATACAACGTACGCTTCTTTGAGTTTTATTCAGAATGGATTCTGCAGGCTCTCGGGGTGCAGCAGCCAAAGGGCCTGACGACTTCGGCGTTCTTGGAGTTGCCGTTAATAATCAATGGGGTGTCCCGCGGCCCTTTACGTTATTACCTTGACCATGCCAGAAGAGTACTTGATCCCAGGGATTCAGGAGTTTAAGCACTCTGCCTGTAGCCTTCGGCCTAGGGGACGGCCACGGCGGAAACTTGATGGTTACACAGGAAAACACGCCTCACATGATGTACATTGACTATGAGGTGTCGGGGATTCATTGCCCTTTCCTTGACATGGCTAAGTCAATATACAATGATGCCTTTTTCAACGTTCTCTACGCAGACCTTCTTTGCGACGATGTCAGTCAGATTAACAAATCAGGAGTCATAGCGTCGTGGGACTTCCAGCAGGGTGCCGTCCGTATTGAGTACAACATTGACGTTGACACACTTGGAAAAGTTATTGCTCTTTCCAAACTTGACTACGTTCTATTACCTCTCCTCGAATCAGTTGCTCGAGACTCTCCATGGCAAATGAAAAATATCGAGGAAGTTTTGAGTTATGGACTTTTCTGTTGCGCTTTGCTGAGCAGAAGATTTACTGCACGCCCAGACGTTTTCTTTCTCAATTTAGCATTGGGAATTCGGCTGGCTGAGGATTTAAAAGCAGTCCTTCGTGAAGTCTTTGACTGGGACAAGTGGCATGTCTTCAACCTCCCAAGCCAGCCATTGACTTCGGTTCGGCATGCACACGGCACGCGGCAATTCCCAGTGTCTTTTGACGGTCGGCATTACTCCCGTCTTTCGTCGTCGTTGTTTCTTTTCACTAACACCATCAAGACCAGATCTCACGAGATATATTCGGTCTGCTCTCTTCTTCATTCCTTATGCCTGAAGAAGTTTTCCTAAAGAGATCAGAGGAGACATTCGCACTTCACCGAGTATTCTCGCAAAAAAGCAACGAAAGTACTGGGACCATAATAAACAGAATATCTAATGCGAGGTATCTCGGCCTGAAGGTTCGTGAAGTTCGAGATCTGGAAAGCAATTATGTCCGCTGACTGCCACAGATTGCTCCCCATACATGCATACGTGAAAGCATATTTGCTGAGCCTCGGATTGACCACCACTTTGCATACAGCACGGTTTTGGCCTCATCAAGCGCTGATAAACTGTTGATTGATGTAGGTTGCTGCATGGGCACCGACATTCGAAAATTGATATTCGATGGTTACCCTGCTGAGGTAAGTTGGAATATCGCAAGTGGCTCCTGAATCTGATGGTGAGTCGGCTAGAATACTAACATCGACGGTAGTCGATCTTAGGTTTAGATATCGAGAGGAGTAAGTTTGCTTAGAAGCGCCTGCTCATTATATAACTAACGTCCTTTGGTGTTCCCAGGCTTCTTTAATTTGGGACATGTCCTCTACAACGAGAGCCGAAACGCTACAGGGTTTCGTTTTCGTCAAGCAGATATGTTGGACCCCAAATTTTCCGAAACGAATAGCGATCTTCAGGATGCATACCACTTCGTCCACACAGCAAACGTGATACATTTGTTTGGTCTCAAAGATCAGGAGAATTTTTTCCGGAATCTAGTTTACTTAGCGAAGCCAGGAGGCAGGATATGGGGCCGTCAAGTGGGTTTGCAGGAGGATGAGTTTCAATCCAGTTACAAGCAACCTGACGGGAAGGGCGCACGATTTACGATAAAGGAATTTCGCAATTTTTGCTTGGAAATCACACGATGGAGCCTGGCGGATATCAGTTTTGAAGCACAACTCGTGAGATATGACGAGATACGGGCCCCTCGGAAAGACAAACAATGGGTTCTACAGTGGAGCATCCAAGTTCCTCAGAAAAAACTAGCAACAGACAGAATACTTCTCATGGAAGAAAGCTGAGGGGAGCTATCTGATCTGAGTGTTCTCAAAGCCAATGATGGGAACCCAGTTAACGCCGCCTTTTTGTCCGCCCTTATTTGGGGGTGCCTTCACATTTCCAAACAGGTTCATGGTGACATGCCTAGTGATAGTACTTGGATGGCAGCAGCTGCATTGGCAATCTGGGGGTGAGTAAGTTCATTGCTCAAAATTATATCACGGGTAAACCCCCAGGGTCGATGGAGCTAGATTAGGGGCCATCTTTTTTGCCCTACGAGGATGATCGACGTGATCTTCCGGGAGGGATCCTTGGTAGGTTCGTGGGAATATATCCATGTGGCCTGACGGATACTTTTATTTGTACGTGGGGATACAGGTTCTGTAAAATATTTTGCGTCATGGAATTGCCAGTACCATGCAATACAGGAACATGTAAAAAGGGCTGTCAGAAACCTTTACAAAAGTGGCTTAGCGTGTTTCATATGAGGGTACCTGAAAGTATTCAGGAGTATAAACATTTGCACCGGTATTGCATCCAGCTGTATCTGAAATGGAATTCCTGCAGCCTGTAGGGCGCCCTTTCAAAATTCTCCGCGCCGTACCACTCTAGGTCATCCTTGTATCCTGCCCACTTGACTCTGTATTGTAAATTGCCGTCGTGTGTTCGAGAATCAAGGATATAGTCGACTTCATACTGCTCGTCACCTGTCGTATCATCTGCCTCTTCGGCAATATCTTTAGAGTACTCATCGCCCCGACCTCGAAGACTTGTTGTACTTCGAATGAAGTATTCTTGCATCGTGAGAATTGCCTCAAACACCTGACACGGGTTGGTGCGGCAGTATTCGAGGAACTTGGTTCGGGTAACGCCTTCACCTGAAAAGATTCTTCCCCCTATTTTCCCCTTAAGGTACAGCTTTCGAGGGGCGCTGGATGGACGAGAATGAGCCATTGTGACGCAAAAGGCCGAAACTGGGAAATTGCTTCCAGATGGTACAGCGCCCGGAGATATAGGGAGGAAATATCCTCTTTGGCAAATTGGAAGACTGTTCCGTTGAGTTTTCGCATGTGGCTCTATTTCTGAGCGGCACAAAGCCCAAGTATAACTACTTGTCACTGGTAGACATGGGCTGCCCTCAACGCTTTTGGCGCTAGCTGCATTCTTAGATAGTTCTGAAAGAGCTATTGGTCGATGGTGATATTTGGCGAGTGAAAATCCATCCAGGAACTGCGGAGAAACGTCCTTCAACAGTTGTATTCTTTCGGTTGATCGCAAGTGGAACCAAGAGTGGGAACAACAGTTTAAGGATATGCCTCATCCGATCAAAGAAGAAGTAACGCAGTTAAACAGACTATGAGTTTCTTCCGAAAGGAAGGCCCTCTTTGAGCGTTGAACTTTAGTTGCGGGATGAGCCCAAAACATTCGGAGAGATCGGGGGACGACTGGCAACTATTACGACCCACTTGGTTGGGTCCACAAGTAATCAACCGCCCGACTTTCGCAATCGATCATTGCTACACTAATATTCTTTAATGAAGAAACCTCCAAACATACGGAAGATCTAAATCAGCTACCAGTTACCAGTATTTGCTCGCGCAAACAATGGCAGTCTGGGTAGCTAACTGATAATTTGTTCAGTGGCTCATTCTCCCTCTGCGGCATGTCGTCAAGCAGATCCACTTAGCGCTTGTACGTTCTGGAAATTGGTCGAATTCTAACTAACTTAGTAAGGAAAGTCCGCCGAGCTATAGTTATTCTTCACAACACGAGGACTGACCAACAGAGCTTCCTCGGTGGGCTACTGTCACGTGGCTGAACAAGCCAAGTCCTGTCAGGATTCCATCCCGTTTAGGTTTAGCGTCCCGACTTAGTCAGCCTATATATAGTTGGCCCCTGAGCCATCCTAATTGGACACTTGGCGCTTCCCGATTCTCTCAGGTTATGGCCCTATGT